ACAATTTTTCTTAATTATAAAAGAATCTTAAATAGTGTAATATGCTTTTATTTTTCAGTACCAGAGTCGTTTAAAGAAAATAGCTGATTAAATTGACAAACATTTAAACGAACCGATCTACTCTAACTGAAAGGATTTGAAACACAGATTGACTATCAAAAGACAAAAGAGAGAGATACTTCCTAGTTCCTCCCTTTACATGAAATATAGAGTATTACTTATCTTGAATATTTATTTTTCTATAACTTACAATTACTAGTAATTTGTATAAAAAATAGAGTTACACCATCAAGCAATAAAAAAGGACGGTGCTCATTTTGTTTATTTGATATCGAATCCATACGATTTTACACTTCTTGACAAATATAATCTCTTTTTTTATCATTCTAATCAGTTATTCTAGTTTTGGTAATGAAAAATTTGTTATACTCGACTCTTTAGCGCGGGAATTCCTATATAATTGAAGTGACGCATTAATAACTTTTTCAATTATAACTTTGATTTGGTAGCATGAACTCCTTAGGGGAGATGGTAGATCCCGCCATATCTAAACACAATCACCCACCACCCACCCAACCCAACCGGCCATTCCGTTGCCGATCACCAGCTCCACCTCAGATGACCCAACCCTATCGGTCTCATGCCACAAATTCCTAGCCAATCGTTCGGAAACCCTAGCGCCGCAACATAGATCTGTGGTGGACTGAACGACGCACCTGATGGCGAATGGTTGGAGGCTCACGACGCTTCTTTTCATGAAGGTAACAGATCAATCGCAGATCTAGTGATGGAGAAGACAAAATTGAATCACGCGACCCAATTTTTGATCTCGTCACCTCTAGCCAACTCCCAACCACGCGCGCCTGTCCAGGGGCCTGTGCAAGCCATTTTGACTCCGGCTGGGCAAACGCGCGGAGAACGCGCCAATCTGCTAGCACGTGGGCTGACGCTTGGGGCACACGCGCCACCTCCGAAATTTGCTCAGACCCACCACGCTGCAACAATGCCATTCAGAGCATTGGTTTCATCATCAACTGGCTTATTTGCACAAAATTGTAGGAAACAAACTTACACAGAGGATATAAAGGTTTTCAATTCACGATTTAGAGTTTAGGTAAAGGAGTTCGTAGTGTCTGTTATGAAATCAAGTTTTATTAAGCTATCAGAATGGGGATAAAAAATATCGGGCACAATTTGCATGGGTTGATTTGGTGCCGTTTGGATGCTGAATATGATGGACAAGTTGAGGATGACTTATAAGATAGAGGAATTCGTCACCAAGTTTAATGAGTTTTCTCGAGCTTTTTTGGCACAACGTTGTGTTAACAATCGTGTTAGGTTTTTGATGATAGCACAGTATGGGGAGAGGTGTAGAAAAGGAGTTGTGATGGTGCCGGAAGGTGCGAATGGAGAAGGATGGGTATCGGTTTCACGCGCGTTTCAGGCAGTTGTTGATTCATTTGTTGTCAGAGATAAGGTTAAACGTTGAATAGCTGAAGACAAGAGGCGATCAAGGATGACTTATGCCAATGTGACGGCAAACTATGGAAACTCTCTCCACGTACACCATACGATGTGACGGCAAACGTTTGTCTTCAAAATAACGTCCGTTTCTTTCTCTCCATATACACCATATGATGCAACCATGAATAAGGTCCCATACAAGTTTGCTATCTTTATCTCGTTCTCCTCCACGCCTTTAACATATCCTCCATACGCTTCGGCAACACCCAATCCATATGTTGCGACGCCAAAATATCGTTCCACAGTAAACGAGCAGCATCACAGTAAATAAATAAGCGATCAATCGTCTCTCCATCCCCTCTTACACATATAGCACCACTCTGTAATATAAATACTCATTGTAAGAATGTTATTTACCGTTAACACCTGTCCTCTGACCACCGTCCATAGTAAAAATGCCACTCGTGGGGGCAGTTTACATTTTCATACCATTTTCCAGGGGAATGAACTCTCTTCAAATCCTAATAAAGATCTAAAATAGGTGCAAACTGAAAAAATACCATCTCGTATCGATCTCCACCTGCTACAATCATCATCTCCTGTCCTGATATGCACATTGTATAAAGATGTCAAAAACATCGCATAATCATCCAATTCTCAGTCCTGCAAACTACAGCTAAAAACAATGTTCCAATTGGAGCTCCCATTATGAATATCTAAGACGTCATTCACCATGACAGACATAATGGTGAATGATGTCTTAGGTATTCATAATGGGAGCTCCAATTGGAACATTCTTTTTTGCCGGGGTTTGCAGGACTGAGAATTGGATAATTATGCGCTATTTTTTACATCTTTATACAATGTACATATCAAGGCAGGAGAGAATGATTGTAGCAGGTGGAGATCGACACGAGATAGTATTTTTTCAATTCGCACCTATTTTAGATCTTTATTGAGATTTGAAGAGAGTTCATTCCTTGTATCGTATTGCGTTGGAGTCGTCTGTCATGGTGAATGATGCCTTAGATATTCATAATGTAAGCTCTTGTTGGAACATTATGTTTTGCAAGATTGGGAATTGGATGATTATGCGCTGTTTTTGACATCTTTGTACGAGGTACATATCAGGGCAGGAGATGATGATTTTAGTAGGTGGAGATCGACACGAGATGGTATTTTTTCAGTTCGCACCTATTTTAGATCTTTGTTGGGATTTGAAGAGAGTTCATTCCCCTTGAAGATGGTAGGGAAATGTAAACTACCCCCACGAGTGGCATTTTTACTATGGACAGTGGTCAGAGGACAGGTGTTAACAGTGGATAACTTTCGTACAAGGGGTTTTTATGCTACATTGTGGTGTTATATGTGTAAGAGGGATGGAGAGACGATTGATCACTTATTTCTTCATTTGATACTGCTCGTTTATTGTGGAACGATATTTTGAGGTCGCAGCATATGAATTGGGTGTTGCCGAAGCGTATGGAGGACATGTTAAAGGCATGAAGGAGAAGTTTTGAGATAAGGATGGCAAACTTGTATGGGACCTTATTCCGGGTTGCATCGTATGGTGTATGTGGAGAGAAAAAAACGGACGCTGTTTTGAAGACAAATGTTTGCGGCATCGTATGGTGTATGTGGAAAGTTTTCATATGTTTGCCGTCACATCGGCATAAGTTATCATTGATCGCCTCTTATCTTCAGCTATTCGACGTTTAACCTTATCTCCGACAATAAATGAATCAACATCATCCTGAAACATGCGTGCAACTGATAGCCATCATTCTCCATTTGCACCTTCCGGCACCATCACAACTCCTTTTCGACACCTCTCCCCATATTGTGCTATCATCAAAAACCTACCACCATTGTTAGCACGATGTTGTGCCAAAAAAGCTCGAAAAGACTTATTAAACTTGGCGATGAATTCCTCCATCTTATCAGTCATCCTCAACTTGTCCATCATATTTACCATCCAAACGGCACCAAATCGACCTATGCAAATTGCGCCCTATATCTTTGATCCTCATTCTGATAGCTTAATAAAACCTGATTCCGAAACGGACACTACGAACTCCTTTGCCTCAACTCTAAATCGTGAATTGAAAACCTTTATATCCCTTGAATAAGTCGATTTCCCACAATTTTGTGCAAATAAGTCAGTTGATGATAAAACCAATGCTTTGAATGGCCTCGTTGCAGCGTGGTGGGTCTGAGCAGATTTTGGAGGTGGCGCGTGTGCCCCAAGCATCGGCCCACGCTCCCGCAGATCGGTGTGTTCTCCACGCACCTGCCCTGTCAGAATGGTTTGCACAGGCCCTCAGACGCATGTGGTTGGGAGTTGGCTGGAGGTGACGAGATCAAAAGTTGGGTCGCGTGATTCAATTTTGTCTTCTCCATCACTGGATCTGTTACCTTCATGAAAAGAGGCGCCATGAGCCTTCGACCATTCGCCGTCAGGTGCGTCGTTCAGTCCACCACAGATCTGGGTTGCGGCTCTAGGTTTCCAGCGACTTGTAGGTTTCCGAACGATTGGTTGGGAATTTGTTGCGTGAGGCCAGTAGGGTTAGATTTTTAGTAGATTTTGATGAAATATGTGGTTGAAAAGTTGTGAATCTTATGAAGTTTATAGTTAAAATTAATTGTTGACTTTGATTTAGATTTTAATAAAAAAATTTAGTGGTACCAAACAGGGCTAAAATTGATTGAAGATACTATGCTCAACTTTTCAAGATTTTAAATACTCAAAAGGTGTCTATAAATCGAAAAGGATTAAGAGCATCTTCAATGTATTTTGCGAATTACAATCTATGTGGCATTTGAATATGAACTAACCATTTTGTACTATTAAAATCCCACATTACTTGGGAAAATATAACTGATCCACTTAATAAGGTGAGGACAATCCTCCCTTAATAAGCCGGTTTTATTAGGTGGAGTTAGGCTCAATATTCCTAACATGGTATCAGAGTTAGGCCCAATTATGCAAAATTGGGTGACACCCAATATAGATTTGTTCACAGTTGTTTGGCATGGTCAACGCTGTGCGTGAGGGGGCATATTAGAATCTCACAATGTTGTTTGGCATGACCCACGCTGTGCGTGAGGGGGCGTATTAGAATCCCACATTACTTGGGAAAATATAAATGATCCACTTAATAAGGTGATGGCAATCCTCCCCTAATAAGCCGGTTTTATTAGGTGGAGTTGGTCCAATATTCCTAACATGTACAATCTTGATTGACAACTTTGTTGTCAAAATTTGAACCATTGATTTTAAAAACTATTTTTGAAGTAAATGAATGTGATGTTGCCAAGTGTGAGTTGTAACCAGTATTGTCTAATAAAATTGTACAAATAGCGCGATTCTTTGAATATATAGATCGATATGACATAGATGTCTAATGAATAGATGGTCATGTCTAAAGGTGGTTAGCAAGTCTTATATAACCTTTACATCTAGATATTGTCTATTTTTCTTTCTATCACTTCAATTTCCTCATCAACTTGTATTGAAGATTTTTTTAAAGACACCGCTATACAAAGCAGTTTGTAAACTGAAGACCTAATTGAGATAAAGCAGCTCTATCTACAAAAAAGTAGTTTTTGCATCAATCAATAGTGTTACCAAAAGGTTTCATAAGATAAAAATGTTCATTGAACACCTCTTGGTCCCTGAGTCAACTTTCATATACTAATTGCTCTAGTAAATAACTAAATAAAATGGATAAATGAGAGAGAAGAGAGAACATTTTCAAGTGGTGTATAAATTGATTCTAGAGTCAAAATAAAGAAATTTTCAAATTTGATTTCTTTATTTAAAAATGGGAATGCATTTATAGCAAAATTTTGAAAGTCTTGTGGGATCTCCTCAAATCAGATTTAATAGATTTCTTAAAATTAATAGATTCTCACGAGTTTCAAAATGTTGAACTTGCTCTTTGCTACTTCCTGTATTGGATGTCTGCCACATCACAAAAGCAGCAACAACTTTAAGAAGACTAGTTTCTCCATTCTGCAGCCACAGCAAAGAATGCAGAAGCAGTCAGAGTGGTGTTTCTCCTAGAACCTATTCTAGCGAAACTAATCCTATGCTTCAATCCCGTGGTCTTCAGAATTGGTTCAAAAAGTGGCAACAAGTATTTTTGCAATTGCTGTTGGCTTTTGGCCTCGTAGAAGAACCCAACTATGGCTAGAGAAGCTTGGGGCCATTGAACCATTCACGGGTAATTTGGCTAAGTGTTCGAGCAACATCAACCAAGAGAAGGCTCTCGAAAGCTATTAGAAATTAACTCGAAAGAGTATCATTTCTTGAATTCCAGGTCTACGGGGATGATGGTTTGCATTTCACCTGATGAATCTGTTGACAAACTTTGTTTATGGCTTGTCTTCTCACGGGGTTCTTGAGATCAAATGTCCATACTTCCATGGTGATAAGAGCAAGGCTACCCCTTGGAAATCACTTTATGTTCCCAATCTCAACGGTTGATGGAAAATGGCTTTAGTTTGTTTAGATTACACTGCAGTAAGGAAACCATAGGCCAGCTCCTAAGCATAGACTATGCAGGTACGCTGTATATGAAAGCAAATGTGTGTTGATGCCTCGGAGCTGCTAAGGAGAGAATTTTTTTTATGAAAAAACAGAATTTAAACGTGAGATCATTATAGGCAATTTAATTTTTGTATCATCCATTATATTCGTACTTATTTCATATCATAATTATTAAACCCAGACCGAACCGGCCGGTTTGGACCGGAAACCGTAGACCCGGACCATTGTCCGTTCCGGGTGCATTAAATTATCAAGTAAGCACATGAACCAGTCAAGAACTGGTTGAACCACTAATTAACCGTCCAAATCGGGCGGTTTTAAGTGGAATCGGATCCGGTTCAATGTGTGAGCTGGACGGTTACCTAAATGAAGTAAAAATTTATGCTAAATGTGCTAGAGTTAGGATTTGAACCTTGGACAATAAAAGAAAATTTTCAACTCCACAACCACTCGGCAGCCAATAGTTCTTTGTCCACTAACGTGAGCAAAGTATATATGTTATATTTTGGAAAATGGTTTCCTTTTATTTCAAAAATACAATTTAATTAAAATTAAAATCAAGCAATGACCCACCGGTTGAACCTTCGATCCACCGGTTGAACCATTGACCCGATGATTTTTCCGGGTCAATCACTTGGTCGGGTTTAATAACTATGTTTCATATATTTGAAATTTTGAATCATGATCAATACGGTTATCAAATCATGGTCAACTTGTTATGGAATATCAATACGGTTATCAAATTGTCTTTGATTCAATCAAAATTTCCCATAGACGATCAATGAACACATGTCTAAGCATCAACAGCTACATAGGGCTTCTCCCTTAATTTGACACAAAAACCAGTTAGTGATCTTTGGATTTTTAGCAAAAGTGGTACCTATCATCTTGCACTCTTGCAGATTTCGGACTTAATGTATGAATTTTTGCAATCAAATCCTTCATTTGTGGCATCAGACCTTTCCGTCAAGATCAAGTTCGTTGGACAAGTTTAAATGAGCTCCCACTGGCACCTAGACTTGTACTAAGCACCACCCGGTGCTGAATAAGATTACTCATTTGAGAATGACAATTTCGTCTGGTCACTGTGAAAAAAAAAAAAAGTCTACATGTCAAGTCAATATCCACCCTACCTGCACATTATTCCTGCTCTCCTCTCCAGTCAGCCATGGCTGTGAAGCCCCTGATGAACCACACAAATCTTTTGCAATTATAAGTATTGCCAAGAACCTTGAATTGGAGAAACACCAGCAGCGAGTTTCACCGTTTGAACAGCACAGAATCCCCTGTGAATCTTCATTTGATTGTCAAACAAAGTTTGTTCATGAATCTGCAGCTGTTCACCACCATATTCTATTTAGCATTCACAAAATTGTGCGGTGCTGGAACAATGCACATCGCACCCACTATCACTGAGGAGTGAAAGCATAAAAGTAGACTGAATTGATATCGAGACTAGCGCACATAGTTACAACAACAGGCAGAGAGTACTTCAGGCTGCAGTAATTGGGAGTATTAATCTCATACGCAGCCTGTGCTAGAGCTCTGTGCTTTTGCCATGCCAATCAAGTTCAAGAATCTTTTGAGGATTAGAGCAATCAGCTGAAAGTTTGTTATATGTCACACCAAGATGACTATAGTGACTGATGAGCCAACACATTTCGAGCCATTATAAGCAAGCTTAGAATGTAATGTTTGATATGCTGATCTTGTAAAGACTTAAGAATGGTAAGATAATGCAAAGTTTGTACACTATGATGTTTTGCAGAACCGAACTCAGAATTAACTAATTCAAGTGATTTTTGTTATTAAAAACATTCTTTTAATTTTCACCGATAAAGAAGTCAGTTCGAGAAAAACTAATAGCTAGCATTGATTCACAATATTCATTCACTTTGTTAGTTTTAATCGTAGGCGCTCAACTAGTGAGTAACAGAAAAACTTAGCAGAAAAGCTTAGAACCCAAGGATTACCTTAAAATAGGCCTCTCCAATTAGAAATCTTCACTTGAAATTATAGGTCAACATGAAGAGAAATTTAATCATCCAGTTTCTGAACTGCATTCTGCTCCTTCTTCGCTTCCGAAGTTTAACAAAACGAAATACTGAAAAGAACAGGTATTACAGATTGGCATTACGTAAAACTAATTGTCCCAGTTTTAAAACTGCAGACCATGCTCCCTAGCAGCATTAGCAAGGGCTTCAATCCGTCCATGATAGGGGTAACCCCCTCTGTCGAAAGCCACCTTGGTAATTCCCTTTTCAAGACAGGACTTCGCAATAGCTTCACCCACCTTCTTTGCTACCTCCTGAGAACAAAAATTTAGAAGTCAAAGCACTTCCTATTTTACACTGAGAGACAAAAAGGAAAGCAGATGCACGTTCAAATAACCTATTTCCTTCATTTGATCTGATGGACAGAAACCCTAGAGGTCCATTGTTGGAACGCTTTATTCAGCCAAAAATCAGATAAACAAGTATCAATATGCATTCCTATTCAAGTGAGTAGATTGGAAGTTGAGGTTCTTCCTTTCATGGTCTTCTAATCCGGAAGTGACAAATTATCAAAATTGAACTTTATGCACATGTATACTAGACGTGAATCCTGCCCATTTAGTATCATTTTTCTGCTGAGAATCTTAAGAAATTACTGGAGATATCTTGAACTCTTGCGTCTCTCTTACACAGTAATAGTGTGTAATCTAGGTATTCTATATAGATCGCCAAATTCACTCCTCCTCAATCAGGATTTGATCGGGGAAATCAGCACCTTGTGAGCATTTAACTGGAAGTATTAAGATAATTCTTTTGCACAGTAAATGGAAATCTGAAACTGAACTTATTTTCATCATCATAAAAAACAATAGCAAAACAAAAGAAAGCATCACTAAGCCTTTCTACGTATGTAATTTCCGAAAATTTTCATCATTCAACTTACAATAGTTGGACCGGAGCTGTAGTCAAATTCCTCTGAGATGGGTTTCTGCATAGTTGAGGCTGAAGTAAGGGTATGCATCTTCAAATCATCAATCACCTGAACATAAATATGCTTGTTGGAGCGGAAAACACACAATCTTGGTCTTTCTGGTGTTCCTTCAACCTGAGAAGTCAAGAACTCGATGATGTTGAGTCATCATTGACAAGACAGAAAGAAACTAGTCTGAAGAAAGGAATGTAATCCAGGTTCTATCACGGACTGTAAAATATATAGAATTACACCAATCCGGTGAACAAGAGGCCATCACACAAAAAAGGGTCAAATCAAGAAAGGAGCATCAATCGAAACTTTAATTCGGATTAAGTACCAAACGAACACGTGATGTATAGATAGTTCTAACATTCTCTTTTTATTATCTGGATAAAGATGCATTATGTGGAAGTTTCCCATAAGAAATATGTACAATTAATCATTCATCTGAAAATGGGGTGCACAATATATTCATTTTCGTCTCCTATTAAAAAAAAACATAAAAAAGGAAACACTTGTTCACCACCCAAGTCATGTTTCATGAACCAAATTATCAGAAAATTAAATTTCAGAAAAATTGGTGACGATGAGAGTTACTATACAAACTTCCATTCCGAATTTCACTACAGAAATTGCAAACACCTCTCTTCCAAGCTCCACAACTACATGCCCTGATATCTTAATTGCAAGAACCCTTTAATTTCACATATTCAGCAATGCAATTGTTCAAAATTCAAATTCAAAAACGATATTAAAAAAAAAAAAAACGGATTACGTGCCTTCTTACGAATACGAATATGACGGGCAGTCCTGTCTTCTCTTCTGGTTTTGGTTTTGGCTTCAATAACAAGAGGCCGTGGCCGATGGGTCACTGCTGCAACTGAACTGAGGCGGCAGCCATGGCTAAGCTGCTGCTGTTTAGTATTGACCCAAGAGGTCTGTAGGAAGGATAATGTAACTGAATTACAAGACATTTCTTCTTCGATTCTCTCTACTGTCTGTGGAGAAAAAGAGCGTGTGTTCGTTTCTATTTATGATAAGGAGATAACGAAATACAAAGAAGGAGAATGGGGAAGTTTTTTGGTCGACCCCCAAAGTTTCACCGATTCCATAAACTACGCCCTGCAAACATGAAAAATGACATTTTGCACCCTAAATATGAAGAATATGTATTAAGTACGAGGAAAGAAGAAATTCGCCAATCTGAAAATTGTGTGATTTTTGGTTCTTGATCTTTTAAAGTGATGTTATATGTTTATGTCCTTACATGATGAAATTTGTAAATGTAGACATTAGAATCGTACTTGACTTAAAGTTGAATGCTACTTTTTTCCCTTTAATTTTAAATCATGTTCGATTTTAATGCCACATTGACAATTTATGTTAAGTGCAGACCCAGATTCACAAATTCAAATGGATTGGGACCCAAAACTTTCCAAAACATCTAAAACCAAGTTAGAAAGCCCTAACAAGAATTTTACACTACAACAAAAATAGTCTACGGCAACGTTCAAAAAATGTTGTCGTAGGCGTTTAGCAATGTTTGGATGTGTGTTGCAAATCAAGGTGTTGTCGTAGAGTATGACTTCTACGGCAATGTTTTATAAACATTGCTGTAGATGTCACCTTTGGCAACGTTTATAAAACGTTGCCATAGGTGATTTTACAGTTTTTTTTTTTTTTTTAAAAAGGGACAATGTTTCAGATTTAAAAAAAAAAATTTTTGAAATTACCTTCTTCCTTGACTGATTGCTACTTGACCCACGCGATTTTAGACTTGTTGCTGGAGTTTCCTTGGGACTCACCGTCTTCTTCCTTTTGTTTGTTCGACCCGGCGTTTCCACCATCTTCTTCCCCTTATTTTCTTCATTTCGCACCGCATTCTTCCCCTTCTTTTCATCCTTTCTTTTCGCCATTTCTAATCGGTGCCTATTGTAGATTCTCACTCCGTAGACACAAGGGAATGCAAGGGATTTTGGGTGGATTGTGGAGAGAAGATTTGAATGTATAGATAGTGGAAATAGGGTGCGAATAACGTGGAGAGAGAGGATTGAAAGAAAATAGGGCTTGAATGATAATGGAAGTTGAGATATTCACAAATTTGAAACTCTGAAATAACGGGATACGGCGTAATTAATTAAAAGATTAATTAAAATTTTAAAAACCGGAAAATTGAATAAATAAAGTCTAAACCATATTTTTAAAAACTAATCTTTAAATACCTGTTTTTTT